GGGGGGGGGGGGGTAGGTCACATGACTAACTCTGAATACAACATCCGCTGAAACCAGGGTTTCTGTATTTGTGGCAAAGAAACTTCCATTTCCAATTCATCATGGACTGATACTTTTGTAAAACGTAATAAAAATGAATTCCTGTAAATGTGACATTGGAAAAGACAAAGACATACAAAGCACAAGCCTGGATTCTTTTCAGATTCAACAGAAGGAAATGAAACCATCAAATTGCTATAAGAGGTTCTAAATGCTTACTCTCCCTGCAGAACGGTAATAAAAAGCTCATACACCCAATGGTTCACAGGATACTTTGAAAATCACTTGTTATTATTCAATCAATAATGTTGAAATTGCTTGTCTACCCATTAAAGGAGAGTTCCAATAACATAACTTAGAGCACTCATCACAAAATTGATCCCAGACGATTTAGCTCTTCAATATTTCAGGTATGGAAAGGAAGAAAATCACGTCTCACACGGTGGCAAATTTATATTTTATGTGAGCTTGAACAAAGCAGGGAATATTAATTCTGATGGTCCAGAGAGAAAGAGAAACCCAGTGAGCAGAGAGAGTCTAAGAAGAGGGTCCCATGTCGGGAGGAGCTGATAAACAGCAGGAAATACCTGTCACTTGGATTGTAAAGGGCTTGACCAGGCCTCAGGGTGAGTAAAATCAGCATGGGTCCTATTCTCACTGAGCCAGAGCCCCACACAGCACCCAAAGATCAATCAAGGGACCAGTAAGGTATAAAATCACAAGCAGTCACAAGAAAGATCCATCACAACTTTATCTGGGGAGGTTTCCTTAAAGACTAAAGAACTTTTGAGGGGCAGTTTGTGAAGCTAAGTGTTTACTTCATGGTGTAGAGAGAGAAACTTAGGGGAAAGCAAAACAGGCCGAGAAAAATCCTTGGTGTAGACAGGAAGGCAGCTGCCGGAGGCCGACAGCATCAACACTTAGTGTCCGGGGGCCGGATCGTGAATGAAGATTGTGGCTGTCCTCCCATGAAAAACGAGAAGCCACAGAGAAGTCAAAGAACGGGGGTTTCAAGATTACACTGGTTCATTACAAAAATTACTCTAGCTCCTTGTGAGGTCAGGTGGAGAGGGAACAAGTTTGTCTCTGGACGGCTGGGAGGCGGTTGGGGAAGAGAGGACAGTGGCCTTGATGAGAACGGTGACCGCCAGGAAGTAGACTAAGCGGGTATCGGGGAGACAGAGGCACTTGAGAAGCATGAAGGAAACACAGAAATCCAAAACAGTTCAAGCAATGGTCTTCTGGCAATATAATTAAGAAGTCAAAAGGAGGAAGTTGTGGTAGAAGAGAAGAAATCAGCACAATGCTAGAAAAGGTGAGGGAACGGAATAACAACAATACACAAATCACAAGAGTAACAGGGGCCAAGGTCATCAGGTTTCCCCACTTTATGCCAATGACGTAATTCCCTTCATTTTGATATAAACATTTAAGTTTACGTGTATTTGCAGAGGCGGCCGATTCATCCAAGCGTTAAGAGGCTGCGCTGAATTTGCGTAGGTTAATCAGCACCTGGCGATTTATGACTGGTAAGGAAATCTCAGGCTTCACATTTACATGAAAATTACTTAATCAATTTCTCGGTAGACCAGGAGAAAAAGGGGGTTATCAAAAAGGGATAGCAGATATGGGCATAATCAGATTTCCCTACAGACATTCTGATTGAATTGCTATGAGTTGAACATAACAAATTCAAGGACAGAGAGAGTCGGACAGAGCCAGAGACTGAGATTACATGGGGTCTAAATTGTTCTGTGTATTGGAAGAAATAACACATATAAACCAGGGCAGAACCACAGCAAATTAATTCTCCATGCCGTTTGTCAACTGTGTCATATATTCCTATCCTGTTATCAGAGATGGGCGTATAAAGTATTTACTTTACAGACAAAGCGTTTCCTGATAACTGAGAGGGACAATAGTTTCTCTTTTCATGCACACTGACCTGAGGAGTCAACTCTACCTCCTCAGCTTTCTTTTCCAGATCGGGCAGGCTATGTAGAACACAGGAAACAAACGGCATTTTGATAAGTGACTTGAAGATCCTTCCGTTTCTAGCAAGATCTTCTTCCACAGCAAACTTGACAACCGGAAAGCTGTCTACCCACAGGGTATTACCTTTCACTTAACAACTCTGAAATTTGGATCTCTGCTGAACCTGCCTTGGAACTCAATCAGAATGAACCCGAACTCGGAGAAATCCACCTTAAGCTGTCAGCATGCCCAGAGACAACACTAAGCCCTTTACCTGTAATATCTGCAGCACTGAAGGGTAAACACTGGCAGCAAGACAAAGGCAGTGCAAAAGGCAATTTCAAGGGCACTTACATATATCTGATTGTTCCCAAAGCGCTTCTGAATTTCATAAAGCAGGCTGCCATCATTCAGCTCACTGAGAGTCGCTAGGTCATCACTGGGAGCAGGAGGCATCAGCTTGACCTGGGGAAAAACATAAGTGAGATCAATTCTAATTGCTTTCCAATCAACTTTCTTCACAGCTGGATGTCCCAGTTTCAATTACATGTCAAAGGTTTAAAGGCCACGTGAGCCTGAAACCGCTATTAAAAGATGAAATGGTTCACTTCCAAGGAACAAAAAATTCAACAGCCACAGAGAAATGTATTCAGATGAGAATTTCGGTCCTGTGCCCGTGAGTGTGCACGCACGCTCACACACACACACTGATACGAGCACCCCCCGTGTTAACCTTAAGTCCCGCAAAGGCATTAGTCTGTCAAAATTATTTCAGCATGTTGATTTTAAATGTAGACACCTGAGTCCTCTGTAAGACAAGCAGCTGAAAAGCTCACATATTTGCAGCATTTTCCAAAGCTAAAGCAAAAATTTTCATATTACCGTTGTTGGCGTGGTGAAGGAAGCAGTGTGCCTGGAATTTACTTTCTGCATGCATGTAGGAGGAGGCCAGATTTTGAAAGAAGACTCCAGAATCTTGGCTTGGGATCTTTATTCTTTTCTACATTACACTTACAACGAAAGTAGCTGTGAGATTAAGATAATTCTGCCATCAAGAAAAAAATGCCTCCCTATTCAATTTCATGGAAAGTGACAGAGTTAAAAAAAAAAAAAAAAACACCTGGGAAACATTTCAATTAAAAAAGCGATGAATTTGAATTTGGATTAAATGTAAATCTATCATTTACGAGTTAAGAATGGACAATTTTTTTTGTAATGTTTATTTATTTATTTTAAGAGACAGGGAGAAGGGGCATGTGTGAACAGCGGAGAGGCAGAGAAACAGAGAGAGAGAGAATCCCAAGCAAGCTCCACACTCAGTGGGAAGCCCAGCACAGGGCTTGATCTCAGGACTGTGAGATCACGACCTGAGCCGAGATCAAGAGTCAGACCCTCAAGTGTCTGAGCCACCCAGGTGCCCCACGAATGGACAATGTTTAATTTTACATACACAAGATAATGTTGTGCAAACTAGGCACTCGATCTACTATGACAGCTTTGGTTTTCTTATGTCAAAACACAGGGGAGCCAAAGAACAAGAATATTGTTATTAACGCCTCTGAGGGCTCGTGGGTGCCCATAGCGAATTTTTAACAGCAGCAAGTTTACTTCTCTTATTTGTGTTCGTGTTTGTATTCTCTACTTGCATTTGCAGTTTGTATTTATAATTGCATTACAATTTTTATTATCGTATGCACCACTGTTACATAATTTGAACTTAAATATTACTGCTTATCAGCTAAATGTCTATGGCACTGACAATTACAAGTCACTGCCCTCCCAGACTGCTTATAATCCTAATGTATTAATAATGGAAACTCAAATTCTTTACTGGGAATCTCAAATGGTCAGTAGAGTGGTTTGTTTTTTCTTCCAGTTAGGAGGGTGTCATGGCCATGGGCTCTGGTATTTGAGACACCACCATTTGGGAAAATAGCAAATACCCTATCCAATATGTATTAAAAATGTATTAAAAATTAATTTGTGGGGCGCCTGGGTGGCTCAGTCGGTTAAGCGTCCGACTTCAGCTAGGGTCACGATCTCACAGTGTGTGAGTTCGAGCCCCGCGTCGGGCTCTGTGCTGACAGCTCGGAGCCTGGAGCCTGCTTCGGATTCTGTGTCTCCTTCTCTCTCTGCCCCTCCCCCACTTGTGCTCTGTCTCTTTCTGTCTCTCAAAACTAAATAAATGTAAAAAAAATAATTTGTAAAATATTCCAGACCTCATAAATGTCAAGAGCAAGCCTCTCCCTGCCCCCCAATATGCACACACAGAGCCAACACCTTGGGTTTATTTTCTCTGCTTTTCTAGCATTTAAAAGAAATATGCCTCAAAATACCTTTCAGAATTAACCTGAAATTAAGGTGCATATAACATAGTCTTATTCAACTTAGTTGACTAGTTAATTTTAATTAGTTAGAGGCATAGCTTTAAGGCTTTGATACTTTCACAAGTACTTACTTAAATAGTTGAGTGGCATCCAAAAGCTGCTACTTGTGCTGATAAAAATAGAAGTCATAATGTTCCACAACCCCCAGTATTTTCTGGGTTGTCAAAATCAGTTTTGGGATTGTGTGATATCTCTGTGTGTGTGTGTGTGTGTGTGTGTGTGTGTGTGTGTGTGTGTTTAAACAGGATACACTTAGTTCTACTTTGAAGAGTCTCATAATCCGAAAATGCTGCCAGGTAAGTAACTAGAAATGTGCTTGACGTACGCTGTGTTTGATTCGGTATTTCGTATCAGTCAGGCTCATTTGGGTAAAAATCTTACATACTGATTTGAGCTTCCCCACCTTAAATTCTGGAAACGGAAGCACATTAAGAGATCGACTGCGTGTGTGTGTGTGTGTGTGTGTGTGTGTGTGTGTGTGTGTGTTGCCTTAAGTTTTTATTTTGAGAGAGAGAGAGCGTGCACAAGCTGGGGAGGGACAGAGAGAGAAGAAGAGACAGAGGATCACAAGCAGGCACCTTGCTGTCTCTGCAGAGCCTGATGTGGGGCTCAGACTCACGAATCATGAGTTCGTGACCTGAGTTGAAACCAAGAGTTGGATGCTTAACCAACTGAGCCACCCAGGCTCCCTTACATTGATTATTTTTGTATTCAATGGGATGAATGGGTTGAAATCTCAGTGGTGTATCTTCCTGGTTGTGGGAATGTGAACATTTTTCTTCCCTAACATTACTAAGTCACTTTCAATCCTCTTTCATACTAGGGAAGGTAATGATGGGTCCCTCATTGGAGGCTGTGAGGATCAGTTTGCATGATGGCCCAGCAAGGTGCCTGCTCTGTGGATAAGTGGGAGTGGGGGGTACATTGTTACACAGTAAAACATCTAGAGAGGGCCGTGAGCACCAAAGATAAACTTTCTGCCAACTTCCCTGAGGACTGCCTTTGGAGGGAGGAGGGAGGAGGGAGGAGGCATTTGTAGAGGGCTCCGGGCCAATCTCTGTGGCTCTCAGCAAAGACACTCATCTTTCACCTGCTTTAAAAATTGGAGTTCTTTTTCATATATCCCTCTATAGGGAAGGATCTGCTGTGAAATAATAATTTTAAAAAGTTTGAAATTCAGTGATGTGGTCCTTAATTGGTAGATGTAGAACTTAAGGCCCAGAGAAGCCACACGGTTTCCCTGGGGTCACACAGCTGAGCGGTCAGAAGTGGAAGCTGGGACAATAACCATTAGGTAACAGCAGAGAAAGTCTAGCAGATAATGAATCAATCTGACAATGTATATTCAATAGTTTGCCTTTCGTTTTCTTGCTCCCTGGACCGTAGCCAGGCACCTTGTTCGAGGTTTAGTACAAAGAGGGAGATAAGGGGGGCGCCTGGGTGGCTCAGTCGGTTAAGCGTCCGACTTCAGCTCAGGTCATGATCTCGCGGTCTGTGAGTTCGGGCCCCGCATCGGGCTCTGTGCTGACAGCTTAGAGCCTGGAGCCTGTTTCAGATTCTGTGTCTCTCTCTGTCTCTGACCCTCCCCCGTTCATGCTCTGTCTCTCTCTGTCTCAAAAATAAATAAACGCTAAACAAAAAAAAAATAATCAAAGAGGGAGATAAGGGATGAGGTCTTTGACCTCAGTCTTTACAGTTTGCAGGGGGAAAAGTGAGGATGGTAAGTAAGAAATCACAATGAGGAAAAGCGCTAGGAGGGAAAACAGGATGCTCTGAAAAGTGACCAAGTGCACTTTGGCTTGGATGGTCTCAGAAGTCCTCTCTGAGGAAAGTGCAGCAAAGCTGAAACAGGATATAACTGCAGGAGGCCGTCCCATGGGGTGTGGGAGAAGATGGGCAGGGAGAGGGGAGGAGGGGGTAAGAGTCATAAAGTTAGAAAGCCCCCTGGAAGGCGCCTGTGGGCTGCAGGGTGGGAGGAAACAGGGCAGGTGGTGGTGCAGGAGGAGAGGGGGGCATGGGACAGGGATGGGTGGCAGAGGAGGGGAGCCCCAGAACTGCACTGGATTTATTACCTGGGACCCGTGTACAAAAGATCAAAGGTTTAGGGGCACCTGGGTGGCACAGTCGGTTAAGCGTCCGACTTCGGCTCAGGTCATGATCTCACGGTTCACGGGTTTGAGCCCCGTGTCAGGCTCTGTGCAGACAGCTCAGAGCCTGGAGCCAGAGACACAGATTCTGTGTCTCCCTCTTTCTCTGCCCCTCCCTGCTCACACTCTGTCTCTCTGTCTCAAAATTAAACACTAAAAAAAAAAAAAAACAAATTTCAAAAGATCAAAGGTTTGCTTATACTGAAAGATACCTGCACTGGGTTACAGGGTCACCGGCTCAAGTGTTTGCCCTTAGACATGAAAGGAACTCAGAAAATAACTACAAATGGACAAGTATGTGTTTCCAAGAAATAAAGACTCCTGGCAAAAGTCTTTATATAGAGAGAAGCATAAAAGGAAACTTTCATTATCGACTTAGGGATGGAGGTAAGTATCTTCTTTCCAGTGATTTTGCAATCATTTCCTAAAAGTATCATAATGCACACATGTACATAGACACAGATATTCACCCCCCAAAACAGGTATGTATGTGTGTGTATATAGACACACTTTATACACACACACGAACACACACATATATACGTATTCATGCATCTACATGATATGATACAAGACAATAATGGGCTGCAATAAGTTTGAACAATGCAAAAATAAGACAAACGTCTCCATCAAGTTAGCATCCATATTTAACTCCCACACCATCATAAAAGGAGACAAATCAAAAGCGAGATTTTTTTTCTTTAGAAGAAATGGTTTATGTTTCTAAGATAAGAAACTTCCTCTTACAGCCATAGCTCTAACAAGCTCAACGCGGACTTCTGGGTGTATGTTTAGAAAGCGCATGCAGCGTATGAACGGAAGCCCGACATTTGTTCTGACAAGCCCGAAAGAGCTATTGCAGACATCCGTTGGTATTTTTGTGGATTTCCATCCACAGTGGCACAGCTGTTTCACGGGGTTAAGGAAAGTACTAGGCTGACAGTAAAAATGTGGAGACGCCTGAGCCTGTCTGCGGTAATGAAATGTGACAAATACAGTGTGAGAGCAGATCAAGGGAAGAATTCCTTGCATTCATCACATCAGGAGCCCAAAGTGATCAGGAAGGAGGCTTTGATGATGGATTGTAAGCAAGGTTATCAGAGGGACACATTCTTTATAAAGATTTCAAAGGCACCGGGGCAGCTGCAAGTAGAAAGGACCAGAAAAACACATCTCTGAATATTTTTATGTTACAGTGGCAGGCTTGATAAGGTCTACTGTCAAAAGTCTGCCAAACAATTATAACACAAGATAAAAGCGAGGCGGGAAAATAACGTAAAAAAAAAAAAAAAAAATCCTCTCTGAGATTGGCCACTATGATTTCCATGAAGATATATATCCCTATCTATCTGTGCAAAAGGGGAGATCTAGAACATAAAGTAAATAGAGCTCAGGATAGAAGGTCAGGAAGAACTTCAGAGAAACACTTTGAGAAATGTTTCGAGATCCAAAGGGAACTTAAGTTTGGGAAACAGTCTGATTTCCCTGACTCCAGGTCGTCCACACTTGCTTGGAGTGGCGCCACCTTTCCTGTTTTGTTCGTTTGTTTGTGACTTTTCATCCCTGGGAGATTAGCAGTACATGTGCAGAAACCATAAGTCCAGGGGACAGAGGAGGTGGCTTGACAAACAGGAGAAAACCATCAGGATCTTGAGGAGGGGAAAAGGACCGAGTATTCATGAATGAAGAGGAGAGAGGAAGTTAGGAAAAAAATGAGGTGGCCAAGAGGTCATAACAGGGAAAAGGGTGATAATCTGACAAAATACTAAGTTTTCCAAAGCTTAAGCCCACCACCGTGCCTAGATAGCATTTTAATTATTTCCCCTTGTTTTCGCTATTCTGTCAGATGTTTCTTTTAATTTTCTTAATGTTTTTATTCATTTTTGAGAGGGATTGAGACAGTGAATGAGCCGGGGAGGGGCAGAGAGAGAGGGAGAGACACAGAACCCGAAGCAGGCTCCAGGCTCCGAGCTGTCAGCATAGAGCCTGACGCGAGGCTCGAACCCACGAACTATGAGATCACAACTTGAGCTGAAGGCAGACGCTGAACCAACTGAGCCACTCAGGCGCCCCTGTTAGATGTTTCTAAGACAACAAAATGTATCAGGTTCTTTCACTTCCTATTGCTTCGCCTGGCCAAGGGTTTACATTTTTGCGTATGCAAATATGGGTATTTCTTGGACCACAGAAAGAGAATTCTCGCCAATTGTCAAAAGCCCTGTAGCGCACAGGCAGCCGTGGCCTGCCGACCCCTCGCCTATTGATGGAACCATCGCAAGTCGACAGGGCTCCGCCAGGTGAACGGGAAGCTCCATGGGGGTGTCCCCGATGAAGAACCAGATCCAGAGTAAAGAAGTACTTGTGACTCTTGGCAATTCGCTTCAGGTTCTGGAATTTGGTCATTTTCAAACTGAATCTGTAACGTGAGTGTAAGTTAAGTAATGAAAAAGGATAATAACTTGCCCATGGTGGGATTTTGAGGATTAGGATAATGCAGGTGAATGCATGGTTAAGCACTGAAATGTTAATACAAAGTATGATTTTGTATTATTATTATCTAAAGTAATCTACGTTTGCATTGAAAAAAAAATAAAGCCTGCTGGATGTGTTGACTGGAATTAGATCAATTAAGAGCAGATACATTTAGTGGTAGAGAACTCAGCCATTTTGGCAAAACCTAACATACAGTGAATCTATACAAATAATAACAATAAAAATATAAATAGATCTTACTACATTTTTTTAAATTTAATGTTTATTTATTTATTTTGAGAGAAAGAGAGCAGGAGAGGGGCAGAGAGGGGGTGGGGGGGAGGATCCCAAGCAGGCTCCGTGTGGTCAGTACAGAGCCCTACGCGGGGCTCGATCCCAGAACTGTGGGATCACAACCTGAGCTGAAATCAAGAGCTGGACACTCAGCCGACAAAGCCAGCCAGGTGCCCCCATCTTACTGCATTTTTACTCTGTTCTTGGTAATTGTGTTATAACCTTATAGCCCTCTTCTTTTGTCAGCTCTGTAAAAACCCTGTGAAGACTATACTATGTACCCATTTTATAGATAGGTCTTATGAGCTCAAGGAGCCTAGAGTCTAAGCAGCAGACCTGAACCAGAGCGTCAGTCTTCTCTGCACTCCCAGGCTACCGTGCCTTCACTAAATGGGGTAAAAATTGGACCCAAATTTCAAGTGTGAACTAAATTTTTATAAATATATTCAGAAAGGAAGGAAGCAGAAGAGGGGAGAGAGGGTAAAGTTAGGAAGTCAGGAAGTTAGGGAAGGACAGAAGGAGGCAGGGAGAGGAGAAAGGGAGGGAAAGGCAGAATGAAAAGGAAAGAAAAGGAAGAACGTATTACACACTTTGAAGGAACTTAAGAGGAATTCTCTCTCCATTCTCAGAGATAATACGTGTTCGTTTTGGTGATTATCAGAACCGAAAAAGTTTCAATCAAGCCTTGAATATTCATTCACACAGTTACCATTTGATAAAACCTACATTTTAGAAAAACCAGGAAGGAGAGATACAGTGGTTTTTGTTTCAATTTTTAAGGAAATTTTCCACATTCCACGTTTCCCTTTAAAATGCTATTCAGAAGGCTCTTGCTTCCACAAGCCTTTTCTGAAGCTCTCCTGTGAAACGTAAAAGTATAATCCAGCCAGTGGGTGACGTCGATCTTCCTCGGGAGAGAATCAGGGCCAAGGAGGGATGACAGCGGTGCCTTAAATCTTACCTAACATTCAATCTGTCTACTGTTACAAACTGAATTGCATTCCTCCAAATTCATATGTTGAGGCTCTCGATGTGAGCATTTGGCGATGGGGCCTTAAGGAGGTAATAAAAGTTAAATGAGGTCACAGGGGTGGGGCCCTGATCCTATAGGATTGGTGTCCTTATAAGAGACACCAGACAGTTCTTCCCTTCTCTCTGTCTCTTTCCTCCCCACCACCACCACCTCCCAGAGGAGGACACAGGGAGAAATCAGCCAGGATGAGGACCTTTATCAGAAGAAACCTCATCAGTTGGTACCTTGATCTTGTATTTCAAGTCTCTAGGACTGTGAAAAATAAATTTCTGTTGCTTAAGCCACCCAGTTTGTAGTATTTTGTCATGGCAGCCTAAGCTGACAAATACACCTACTAAAGTTGGTGAAGTGTCTGACTTCGGCTCAGGTCATGATCTCACCATTCATGCATGGGTTCAAGCCCCACATTGGGCTCTGTGCTGACATCTCAGAGCCTGGAGCCTGCTTCCAATTCCGTGTCTCCCTCTCTGTCTGCCCCTCCCCACTCACTCTTTCTCTCTCTCTCTCTCTCTCAAAAGCAAATAAATAATAATTTTTAAAGTATCTCAAAATTACAAAAACCATTTATTAGTTATTTTGACATAACAAAAATTAATGAAACTAAAATTAAATTTTGAAAAGATGGCCTTTGGAAAACCTAGCTAAGATGTCTTTAAATTATCCGAAATTAGAGTGAAATAAAACAGTTTCAAGGATTACTCTGACATGTATAAAATCACTCTGCCACTTATAAAACATGAAGCATGTAAAAATCATTTATTTCTGTAGGAATGGTAACAGAAAATACACTAATTTCTATATCTCCCAGCTCATCAAAGTGATCGCCCATAACCTAGGCACTGCGGGACACACACACACACACACACACACACACACACACACACACACAAAGTACACCACCACAGTTACTTTCCATAAATGACTCTTAGTGGTTGATTTTTCTTTCTTCTTGTTATATAAAATAGTTGGATCTTTGAAGGAAACAAAAAGCATACTCCATGTAATAATCAAAATGATGACCAAACACATAACTGTTATTCAGGAATATTCAGGAATCAGCATACTGGCTGAGCTCACATTCCTGATATAGAAGTCAAGAGTATAAAATTAAATCCTTCTACAGCACAATAGCAGCTATGTTTAATGGTCAGTATAATGCCATGACAGTGTGTATATGGGAATTTTAAACCAAGTATTAACCTTTAGGTCATGAATTTTTCCTTGAATGGAAATTTGTGGGTGTTTGGTTTTGAAACGTTGGATTTTAAAGCATGATGCACTAAGCAGACACACAGTAAAGACGTGTTACCTGTTCAGGTTTGGTGGGGACGTTCACCGTGGCATCTTCAGGGACGCTGTCCTGAGACTGTCGCTTACATAGACCTTTTCTTGCATCTTTGAACATAATGTCTTTTTCCAACATACTGTCTTGCTTGGCAATCGGCAACACCAGGGGACTGCTACAGAAAATAATCAACATTGTAATTAGTCTTCTCCGGACACTGTCGTATTAATCAAAAAAGACCATAACAAAACTGGGCAGTGATAGAAAGGTGTTTTACTCAGATAAGAAACTGCTTCTCGACACAGAGGGGAAGAAAACAATCAACGGGAAATCTGTAAACTTTTCTATTCTAAATTTCACTCAATTTCAACCTTAAAAGAAAAAAATATATTCAACTTGAGAAGAAAATGTTTACAAATGTATATATGACATAAAAAAAAATCAATAAGCAATTTATAAGCAAATTATAAGCTAAGGTTGATGCATGGTTGAACTAAGTAAGAGATTTAAGTGGGAAAGTGAATTGCAAACATGTAAAGGCCAAAATTACACAATTAATTAAAATATTATTCATATGCAATTTAAAATATGTTATAGAGGGGCGCCTTGGTGGCTCAGTTGGTTGAGCGTCCAACTTTGGCTCAGGTCATGATCTCGCACGGTCTGTGAGTTGGAGCCCCATGTTGGGCTCTGTGCTGACGGCTCAGAGCCTGGAGCCTGCTTCAGATTTTGTGTCTCCCTCTCTCTGTGCCCCTCCCCTGCTCATGCTCTGTCTCTCAAAAATAAACAAACATTGAAAAAAAAATTAAAATATGTTATAGAATCATGGGCAATATTTAGAGTTTGTAATGAAATATTAATAGGGGAATCAGAGAAGAATGAGGTGCTCGAAGGTTGAAATATTACAAACGATAAGTTTCATTACTTCATATGGCTCAAACTAGGCAAAAAAAGAAAATAAAAGCCACTTCATTTTATTTTGTTCCAAAGACATCATTGCCAAAAGAAAGCCATTATTATATAATGTTCATTAAAAATTAACCCAATCTAAATGTTTAATTTGCATTGTAACATTTTATGATAGCGAGATTTAAAACTGCATTTCCCTAAATGTTACCATACAAGCAAAAATATATACCTATTTAATCAAGCGCGATATATATAAACATATCTATTTCATGTATTCTGTTATAGCACTTGTAATTCTAATTAATGCTTAAATGCACTTTTTGGTTTGCAAAAAATTCAGGTTTATTGAGGTATTATTTACATAGAGTAAAACTGACTATGACTCACTTTTTGTAGATGTACATGCATTTGTAGATGTATGTGTCGAATATATATATAGTTGTAAATGGTTAAATACATGTATTTGTGTAGCCCACATAACCAGTGCTATATAGGATTTTTATCATTCCCAACCATCTCTTTGTGCCTGTTCTTTGTTTGTTTGTGTTTTAATTTCTTTAAGTAATCTCTACACCCCGTTGGGACTTGAACTCACAGCCCTGAGATCAAGAGTCACACTCTCCTCCGACTGGGCCAGCCAGGTGCCCATATTTGTGCTTGCTCTTTGGAGCCAGTCATGTTCACTCACCTCCTGCCCCTCGCAACCACTGATAATTATTTCTTTCACTATAGTTTTGCCTTTTCTAAAATGTCAGAAAGGGATCATAGAGCACGTAGCTGCCTGCGTCTGCCTTCACTTACTTAGCATAATGGTTTTTTTTAAATTTTTTTAATGTTTATTTATTTTTGAGACAGAGAGAGACAGAGCATGAACGGGGGAGGGGCAGAGAGAGAGGGAGACACAGAATCTGAAACAGGCTCCAGGCTCTGAGCTATCAGCACAGAGCCTGATGCGGGGCTTGAACCCATGGACCATGAGATCATGACCTGAGCCGAAGTCGGATGCTCAACCGACTGAGCCACCCAGGTGCCCCATAGCATAATGTTTTTAAGGTTGGTCAGTGGCTTGTTTTTAGTGCCGACTGGTAGTCTGCTGTGGAACATGCGACACTCGGGCTATCCATGCACCAAACGTTTGGGTTTGTCCAGATGTTGTCAAGTGTAAACGAAGCTTCTACACGCAGCTGTGTACAGGTGTTTGGGCAGACACATGCTCTCATTTATCTTGGTTAAAAACCTAGATGAAACTCCACAAACTGTTTCTGACGTGGTGCTCCCCCCAGCAGTGCCTTGGCAATTCCTTTGCCTCACGTTCTTGCCAATGCTTCTCTCTCTTTTTATTTTTTTTTAATTAAAAACTTTTTTTAATGTTTTATTTTTGAGAGACAGAGAGAGACAGCATGATTTGGGGAGGAGCAGAGAGACAGGGAGACACAGAATCCGAAGCAGGCTCCAGGCTCTGAGCCTGTCAGCACAGAGCCTGACGCGGGGCTCGAACCCACAAACTGTGAGATCGTGACCTGAGCCAAAGTTGGATGCCTAACCGACTGAGCCACCCAGGCGCCCCACTTCTCTCTCTTTTTAAAATCCACTCTAGTAGGTATGTTAGTGGTTTTTCGCTGTGCTTTCAATCTGTATTTTAATGTGCTTATTCAATATAAAAAGCTCTTCTCTGGTAAAGTGGGTGTTCAAATCTTTGTAGCCTGAGTACTGGCTTTATATATTCTGGTTCCCAGTCCTTTATCAGATGCATACATGGCAAGTATTTTCTCCCAGTCTGGGTCTTATCTTTTCATTTTCTTTATAGTGTGTTTCAAAATATGTTGTTCCTTTTTTTTTTCCTCTTATGACTTGGGTTTCTTGTGTCTTATCTAAGAATTCTTTTCTTAACCCAAGATCAAAAAGGTTTTCTCCCAGGTTATATTCCAGAAACATTATAGTTTTGTGCTTTACATTTGAGTCTATAATCCATTGTGAGTGGGTTTCGTATATGGCGTTGTACACGCGTCAAGTTTCGTTATTTTTTTCCTATGGCTGGCTGTCCAAGTGTTCCAGCCAATTATCTGGATACCTTTGTTAAGATTCAGTTGACCATATATGTGTGGGTCTATCTGGGGGTACTCCAGTATGTTCCACTGATGTAACAGTCTAGTCTCACACCAATATTGCATGTCTTGCTTTAATACACCTTCACAGTAAGACTCAAAATCAAGTACTAGGATTCATCCAACTTCGCTCTTTTGTTTTGGCTATTCAAGATCATTAACATTTTCATATGGACTTTACAATCTATTTGTCAATGTTTATAAACACGTTCATTGGGACTTTGATTAGCATTGTGCTCAACCGGTAAATCAATTTGGGGGAGGGTTTACATATTAACGGTGTTGAATTCTGTCATCCATAAGCACAGTATCTTTATTTATTCTGATCATTAATTTTCCTCAGTATTCTTGTAACTTTTGGTATTAAAACCTTCCAAATATCTGTTAGATTTATTCTGTTGTATTGCATGTTTTCACGCCATTACAAGTGAATTTTTTATTTCAATCTCCTCTTGCTGTATACAGAAATGCAAATAATTTTGTAGATTAACAGTGCTAGGGGTGGAGGAAAGCATCCTGAAGGGCTTCTTTTAGTAACCACAACGTCTCATTGTTTTACAGCTTGTCTCTGTGCCTTATCTTCCAAATGTACAACAGAGTCTAGCAAAGTGTGGAAAAACAACAACAGTAAATGGGCTGCATTAATGCCAGGCCTGAGGCAAACGCCCAAGGAACACTTTTACAGAAATGTGAGGTCGGTTATGCATCCCTTGAGCTATGGATGATGATGGTTTACTGAATGAAGACATATTTAAGTAGGTGAGGCGACAGGGGAGCACACTAACGAGGCAGCCTGGTGCAGAACAGTGACAAGTGTACTGTGTCTGTGTCATAAAAGTACAATGTTTGATGCTCACTCTGCCATCCTGGGCAAGCTATATACACATTCTCTGAAACCAATCTGTAGGGGCGCCTGGGTGGCGCAGTCGGTTAAGCGTCCGACTTCAGCCAGGTCACAATCTTGCGGTCCGTGAGTTCGAGCCCCGCGTCAGGCTCTGGGCTGATGGCTCAGAGCCTGGAACCTGTTTCCGATTCTGTGTCTCCCTCTGTCTCTGCCCCTCCCCCGTTCATGCTCTGTCTCTCTCTGTCCCAAAAATAAATAAACGTTGGAAAAAACAAAATTTAAAATAAATAAATAAATAAATAAAACCAATCTGTAAAAAAAGACTGGTGTTGGATTTCCAACATAATGCATACAAAGGGCTTAGCACAATGACTACAGGAATAAGCAGGCAGTGAGATTAGCTATTGTTAGTTGCATGTGCCCAGCGCTGTGAAGTTTGCTCTGCTTACAAACTAACAGGTCAGCTTGGCACTATTTCATGGAGAAGCGTGGGAGACAAGAGATTCCCAGATCTGAGACGGAGGATGTTGTTACTCACAGATGGCACACACAGAGTTTCGTGTTTGCACCATGTCCCACGATGGGGCCCACACAGGTAGACCTCCACGGACACCTGCACCCACAGTGTGTTGTGTGTAGGACAGAGTCCCGGGCAAGAGTCAAATACTTTTTGAGCGAGCAGTGAACACTGCACCAAGTAGCTGGTAAGCCAGTGCCACTCCCCTCAAGTGAGTTCTGTGGTTTCCTTGAGCTACTTGGTGGCCTGTATTTCTAACTACACAGGGCTTACAGTCTGAAAAACTGAGCAACAATGTGCAGGGTGCTCAAAGCCCATGGCAGACTATCCTTCCCAAGAGTACAGTTATTAACTTTAAAAATTCTTGGGGCGCCTCGGTGGCCCAGTCGGTTAAGCATCTGACTTCGGCTCAGATCATAATCTCCTAGTTCGTGGGTTCAAACCCTGTGTTGGCCTCTGTGCTGACAGCTCAGAGTCTGGAGCCTGCTTTGGATTCTGTGTCTCCCTCTCTCTCTTCCCCTCCCCTGCTTGCACTCTGTCTCTCAAAAATGAATAAACGTTAAACATTTTTTTTTAAATTCACTATATGATGGGGATGATTGTAAAGCTTATAAAAATTTCATATCCAGATCTGCTTGAATACCATCGAGTGGTAAGGTATCCACAACTGCAAAGGGGCCCTATTTCTTCCGTGAACAACTGGGCAACACTGCCCGCTGCCCTAACTGGTATTCATCCTCCCTGAGCTTCCGAGGTGTGTCCCATGCTTCTCTGACATGAGAACCCTTCAGGTATTTGAA